CAAGCTATACATTCTTTTTACTTTGTCATCATTACACATATATTTCTCTTGTTGCTTTCCTTCAACGACAGGATTTTGTTCCTTCTTTTCTTTCTTTACAAAATAACTCCGTTATTTTAGCGCAAAAGTGTCCTAGCAATTGAAATCGACGAAGGTGCAAAAGTTATTTTTATGATATTAAACAAGTATACGTGTAAACTAAGGCGTGCAGATTGGCGAAATAAGGAAGTTCGAGAAGACATGGTGTAAAACGAGATGCGATTAATGACTTCAGACAATTTGTTCAACTTTTCACGCTCTTTCGAATGATGTTTGTGAAAAATTTTTCACGATTGACTGGCCTTCTTCGAACGTCTCTTAATGATCAATAAGGCTGCATGGGTTAGATGCACGACATATACACATTACCACATTTTGCTCCAAAACTGAAGTATTTATTTATCAATCGATCCTAAGAAATATATATCAAAGACGGCATATCGTCAAGAGCCTATGTACAAGGCATAGAGACGATCGAAGCTGGAAGCCATTATGTAAATCTAGACGAAAATATAATTTGTCGTCCGAGTTGTTACTTCAAATAGCTAGCTGCAGCTGACACACATATTCTCTTAGATGGTATAAACTGTATAGGGTAGCTATGGATTCTCCTTTAGCTCCCGTTTTGACGAATATATTTATGAATTTTGATATGGGTACGTTTAACAAAACAAAGAGTACTTTGTGATTTTCATCATGATAATTCACATATGATTTGTTCCCACAACAACAACAAAGGAAGGAACAAAATCCTGTCGTTGAAGGAAAGCAACAAGAGAAATATATGTGTAATGATGACAAAGTAAAAAGAATGTATAGCTTGATTCGTGCTGCATAAATATGTTCCGTGAATCTCAGTTCACGGAACACAATCTCATTCACTTCTTCTTTTCAAATCAAGTAAAGAGTCCTTTGCTTCTCGTCAACACAAAAAACGTCTAATAAAACTATGTCAAATTATAAGTTATACTACGGCAATGCACGTGGACGCGCTGAAATAACTCGTTTGATATTTGCACAAGCTGGACAAAAATTTGAAGACCTTCGTTGGGAACAGGATGAATGGCCACGTTATAAAGCAGAAATGCCGCTGGGACAAGTGCCCGTTCTTGAAGTTGACGGCATCAAAATTCCGCAATCTATATCAATTGCTCGATTTGTTGCTAAACAATTTAATTTAGCTGGTCGTGATAATCTCGAGCAAGCTAAGGTTGACTCGGTTGTTGATACAATTGTTGATCTGATGGAAAAAATTATACCAGTAATGTTGGAGAAAGATG